ATTTGTGTTTCCTTTTCTGGTAAATTCTGTACATAACTTTTGGTCATTTTTTCCTTTTTTTGGCTCTTAAGAAATTGATTTTTAAGAGTTTATTATATTATTTTGTATTGTTATCCTTTACCAGTAATATATTTAGCATATACCTTCTCCCAATTTGTGGCTTTTAGTTTTTGTTTTATAGAATATTTTGATGAACATAAATTTTTTATTTGAATCTAGTTGAATTGATCAATTATTTCCTTTATGATATTGTTTTGCTCAATAAGTCCTTTCCTTTTCTGAGATTATCTATATTTTCTTTTAAAATTTAAAATTCTGCCTTTCACAGTTACGTCTTTAATTCATTTGGAGTAGGTTTTTGTGTACAATGTGAGGTAGATATTTAATTTTCTTTTTTTCCCCAAGTAGATAACTGTGAAGAACTGTGAAGAGTCTGAGAATTTATCCTACTTGCAAACTAAGAAGCTAGCCTGCCAGTCTATGGATGCTGGCAGAACACAAGACCCCCAGCCAGCACAGCGAGCAGCAAGCTGCTGTTGGTTCTCTTGTCACATTCTCAGAGACCTACGAGAAGAGGGCTGCCTGGCACCTGCATTGCACTGGGTTGCATTATAGGAGAGGAACACTGAGCTAAGGGACCCTGAATCTTTTATAATGAACAATGAGCCAGTCTGATCTTTGCCTGAGAGGGACACATTATCTTTATTACAGAACAATGAACAAACCTACTCTTTGCTCTGGAGGGAGAGCGTGTTTCTCCTTTCCCAGGCTGTTTGCTGCCTAAAGAGTCTTGAAAACAGCCGAGAGTAGAGGCAGTCAGTGTTTCTGCTCATAAGATGTTCAGAAACAGAAGAGGCCCAGACTTTGTTGACCTTATTTGGCGAGATCTATGTTGCTTCCTCCTGACAAGATGTGTGTTTGTGCTGCCAACTACTGGGCTCTAGCAAGCTCTTTAATTTTCTAAAAAAATATGTAATATCTATGGAGCATGTAAGATTAAATTCTAGACTTTAGGGAACCAAATCCATGGGTTAAAAATTTCAGGATTGACTATTCCTCTTTTTCTTTATTTTTCCCCCCTCCATCCAGAGCCAGTGTGGAGATAAGAATTCTTGATACACTTCTTTTGTTGCTAGCATGAATATTTTTCCTGGGTCACCCTTGTCTGAGGTTATGGCTCTCTTCAAGTGTCCAGGTTTAGGGTGGGATTCTCAAATTTAGCTCATCCAGTTCCAATGGCCCAAGGCTGCTTCCCATTCCCTACTCTATATGGAAATGCCTTCAGGCACTCCCAGTGTTTGCATTTGCTTACACTTTACACTCAGTTTCCAGTTTACTCTTCTTTTTCTTTTTTACACCCATTGGGATTTCTCTGATTTTGCTGCAAGCTAAGCCGTGTATTAAAAAAACAAGCTCACTGTAATTATCCAAGACCTAGTAGTATTGTATAAGGAAGGCTTTTTAGAATACCTAGTTCATACTGCTACAAGCAGAAGCCAAGAGTAATCTTTTAAAAATGTAAAATAATTTGCATGGCTCTTCTCTTAAGGCTCTCAAATGGCCTTTTCTCACACTTAAAAAATGTACCAACCATCTTGGCCTCCAAAGCGCAGAGCTTGTTCACATCACCTGCCTCTGTGTCTGGCTGCTCCTCAAGTGTGCTGATCTTTTTCCTGCGTTAGAGCCTTTACACTGGTGCTCGTGTGTGGCATGTTCTTCCCCGCTTCTTCACCTGGCTGGCTCATCCTTCTCATGCTCATTTAAGTGCCACCTTTTCATAGCAGCTTTCCTTGATTAGCCTTCCCATTTTTTCCATTATCACCATTTTAATTCTGTCCAAGGTACCTAGTGCGTATTAGCTGACGCTTTCCTGTTCATGGTCTCTTTTCCTACTAGAACCCAAGACCTTGTTTAGGTTCAAGGGACCTTGCTTATCTGGTTTACCACTGTCTTCTCAGGGTTTAGAACAGTCCCTGGCACACAGTAGGGACTCAATACTTGTTTGTTGAGTGACTAGAACTGAACATGGATTACTTAGTCTCTTTAGACAGGACCTAGGTTCTCTAGTGCCCGCTACTTCCTATTATGTCCCCAACCCAGCCTGCTTCGCTTTGTTGTTATTTACCAACCTGGCCCCATAGGCATTTAAATTTTTAATCCCTGATCATAAATGCCACTCTAATTATCGTCAGCATTTTGAGAGCAGAGGCTGTGTTTTATGTCTTTTTCCCCCCTTCTTCTTTTCTGGCTTCAATGCCTTGCATATGGTAGGAGGGGAAGGAATTAACAGTCATTGAATATCTCCTACCTGTCAAGCACAACACCACCACTATAATTTATATCCTCAAAACACCACTATGGGGCCAGGTATTATTATTTATGTGCATTTTATAGACAAGGACACTGAGATTTAGAGTTATTCAGAGTCATATAGTAAATGAAAGATCTGGCATTGGAACCCACCCAACAACACATACTCAGGATGAACTGTTGACAAAGGAGGAACAGGTGACTGCTTTCAATGTGCAAAGTAAAGATCGAGCAATTAATTCAATATTTCAGGTCAAGCTTTACTTGGATAGCCTGACTTTTTACTTACCAATTTTATTCCAATGAGTATATGAAGATTTAGCTTGAGGTATGTCTGTCTATATTTGGTTAGAAGAGGCTTTGGAGATGCTAATCATGTCTTCTAAGGGTCCTTTATATCTAATAAATGTCTGTTGGTAGCACATATTATGGAATCTGATAACAAGACTGTTTGAAGATACCTATTTCAGTCAATTCATCACCTGTGGGTGATCACTTTGTAAGTTATATAAATGTCTAATCAGGGGATTGTACACCTGAAACAAATATAATATTGTAATTGAAACAGAAAAAGAAAAAAAGAAATAAATGACAAATTCAGTAAAAAAATCATCACCTGCCCCTGGATTACTGGACAAAGACAGACACTGAATGCACTGAATGTGTGCCATGCAGCCAAGCAATCTTTAAAATAACAAAATCTTATTTTTATTTTTTTTTACAGAAATTCAGGTATTCCAACAAATTTCTTTACATTTCCTGGACCTTAAAAAATTACACACAACTTTTGGACGCAATACAATGGAACAGAATGAGAAAGGGAGTCACTTTATTTTTTAAAAAAAGATAAAAACATACTTCTTATACGTAACATTTAGTGATTTACACGTGTATTACCTATGTACAAATGGTACATCATCAATGACTGATTTTCAGAGCACTGTGGTATGTATGCTAAATTACACTTAGGCTTTATGGAAAAAAAGTTTAAAAAAACATTTGCATGTGGATAGAAAACACTTTTTCAATTTTGTAAACACCACTATTAGTGATGAGAAACTCCCAATGGAATCTGTAATTTACATGGGTTAGAGAGAGCCAATACCTTTTACTTTATTGCAGATAGAGAGGTACTTCCCTTTAAATAAAAGATGAATTCTTGAAAAGTTGTGTGTAATTAAGTTTATTAAGTAGGGTGTTTTGAATGCATTTGGAGAGCTAATAGTTAAAACAAAAGTAACTCCCAGAATGGCTACTTTACAGATAAAAAGTATTCCCTAAATTTAGCTCTTTAGAAAATCCATATCTTTGTGAATTGGGTTTCACTGATTGGAGCATACTTGTAACATACTCTTAGCCATTTGAAACATAATCTTGTTTATGGTGAAAAGATGGCTACTGCCAGAAATATTTGTCAAAAATACGGGTGTGGCCCTAATAGAGAGAAGAGAAATCAATTGTGATTTGTATCACTTCTTGTATCATCCTCCATCGCTGCTCCAGTGACATATGCCAATTTTATCTTAATTTTGAGTCTAAAGATGAAGGCATGTTTTCTGCTCAGGTACAGAATATGGTTTGGCTTACACTGATTATCCCTGCATGTACATTTTAGCTTGTGATCATTCTCAAGCAATTGACTACTTCATTATTAAATATTTTTCTGTTGTTGCACTTGGCAGGCTACATGGTGAGGGTGCTGGTGGGGGAAACCTGGGAGCAAAAGATTGTTGAAGACAACTGATCAGTTGTAACTATCTTCAGATGCCAACCAACTGAAAAAATTGAGTATTTTTGAAACCAACGTTAGTAAACAAAAAGGCAATTTACTCCTACCCAGTTTCTTTGATCTGTATAAGTATATATTCATTTATTTCTAAGGCTATTAAATTATTATTTATTTATTTAGTACCACTTACTATCATTTAGAAATAGGTTTAATGGAATGATTTGTTTGTTTTTAAAACAAAAATGAGTGTGTCAGTAAGGGAAAGAAAGGAGATGGATTTCTCATGACATGTGTGGGAAAGAAATAGGAAAAAAAAGGAGGAGATATTTCATATGCCTATTTAGAAAGTATGTTAAATTCTTATGGATATACTAGGAAGAATTAGAAAAAGTATTTATCTGATAGCAGCCTCTATATTATATGTGAGCATCGAAGGTGAAAATGAGCTTTCTACATTTTTCAGAGTTCCTTGATGCTGTTTCCTGAAAGGTGGGAAATTTACTATGTTTCTCGGGAACCTGTGATGTGGATGTACTTCCTGTAATATACAGCTGGATGGAGTCATAGTATACGTCAGAAACACTTTCTCAGTAATAACTCGTACAGACATTAAACTGAACACAGACTCGGTAAAAACTCTGAAGCATTACATCTCTTAACTGAGTGATTGTTCCTAATTACACAGTGGAATAAATGAACAGCAGAGATGGGGGAGCCAAAGGTCATGGCCCCTATGAAGATATTCAGAGGCATTTTCTAAGATGCTTCCTCAATAAATGATGCTTGATTAGTCTCTTGGCTACTGAGATAGAAATACTTTAGGATTGACTGCCTTTTTAAATATAATGTTAAAAGATTAAAGCTTTTTGTTTTCAGTTTGATTAAAAAAGGACAGTTTACAAACCTCAGTACATATATATTTAACATGTTAATTCTAGCATGTTTATATTCCTCTTTCTTGAAATATTTCCTGAATATGATTTCTTATGAATGTAATTTCTGGTGAATGTTATCTGATCTTATACAATGATAGTTTCCTATGAGCTGGTGTTTAATCCATAATCACATCTCCTTTTAGAAAATCACTACCATCTCTGATCTGATTTGACAAAGTGGGTGTTTCACTCTTGTTCATATCCATCTCCATATCCAATCTCTCCCAAGTGTCTTCTTTCTTGATGTTGATGTACAAAAGCTGTTATTCGATTTGTTTAGCTTGTGCTCATTCTAGAGAATATTGGCTTAGCAGAACTGCAGGTGGGTGGTGGGGAAGAGAAAGAGAAAAGAAAAAGAGCGTCATTTTTGAGCAAGATTTTTGTGCATATTTATCACAGAAAAACCACACTAACAAATGGTTCAAGTGCATTTGTCATCAAAGAAGACTGAAGAGGTTTCTGTTCATTAAACAAACAGCATAGTGTTCTAGCAAGCACTTCCCTCTTCCTCCCATAGCCCAGACATGTGTATTCCCTACATCTGCGTGAAGATTACAGGCTGCTTTGAAGGAGCAAGGAAGAATGGGAAATGATCCCAAGCATCACCGATTTATTTATTTATTTATTGCCTGACATAAAAAAATGTCTCATTTGAGTGTTTTCCTTTTTCCTCCAAGTTTCATTTATTTATCATACAATCAACATTATAACATTGAGGAAAGAAATGATTATAAAGATAAATCATTCATAATCCAATCACATTGAGATACCAACGATTTTACTTCCATTCCTTATCTAAGTGTGCACTTATTTTATATAGTTGGAATCATGGTATAGGTGACACTGTTAACATTATATTTAAAACAATTTTCTACATTTCCACTCTCTGCATCATCAGCGTCAATTTTTTAATGGCTGCATAATATTCCATTCCATTCTCATTTCTTTTCATTGCACGATCAATCTTCCATTCTCACTATTTCACCATTGTCAGATATGTAGGTAGTTTCATTTTTAAAAAAATTATTGTCAATAATGCGTATCTTTGCATATAAAGTTCTATTTTTTGTTCTTTTACATTCTTTCAATTTAAAAATTTTTAATCCTCAGATGAGGGTATATTTTTAAATTTTATTTTAGAGAGGGAGGAACAGAGAGATAGATGATAGAAAGATAGATAGATAGATAGATAGATAGATAGATAGATAGATAGAAACATTGATCAGTTGCTTCCCATAAGTGCCCCGACTGGGATTGAACCCTCATCCTGGGTTTGTGCTCTGACCGGAATTGAACCTACCACCTTTTGGCATTGGGGATGATATTCCAACCAACTGGGACAAAGGGAAATGGACCTTGGAAACTCAGGGTTTGATTCCAAAGAAATAAAGTTTTCTATAATACCTCCTTCTCCCCATGTGATTCTCAGAAAATCCCTTTTCTTGTGACATTGCAAGAAGATCACTTCCTATCACATGATCTCACTCATTTATGGAATATAATGAACAACATAAACTGATAAACAAAAACAGATCCAGAGACAGAGAAGCATCGATCAGACCATCAAACCTTAGAGGGAAGGTAGGGGAGGGTGGGGGTAAGGGGGAGAGATCAACCAAAGGACTTATATGCAAGCATATAGGCCTAACCCAGTGGTTCTCAATCTTCCTAATGCCGCTGCCCTTTAATACAGTTCCTCATGTTGTGGTGACCCCCAACCATAAAATTATTTTCGTTGCTACTTCATAACTGTAATTTTGCTACTGTTATGAATCGTAACGTAAATATTTGATATGCAGGATGTATTTTCATTGTTACAAATTGAACATAATTAAAGCATAGTGATTAATCACAAAAACAATATGTAATTATATATGTGTTTTCCGATGGTCTTAGGCGACCCCTGTGAAAGGGTCGTTCGACCCCCAAAGGGGTCGTGACCCACAGGTTGAGAACCGCTGGCCTAACCAATGGACACAGACAACAGGGGGGTAAGGGCATGAGTGGGGGGATGGGGGGTAATGTGGGGATAAGGACACATATATAATAACTTAATCAATAATAAAAAAAGAAGACCACTTCCACCAGCAACAGGTGAGGACAAAGAGGGCTCCCCACTGATAACACTACCAGTCTCAATGCAGTTTCTTCTTTAAATCCTAGTTGTAGGGCTTCTATTCAGCTAGATTTCTGAGTGATTGTTGTTCTGTAGTTGAGTTGTAATTTTGATGTGGTTGTGGGAGGATGCAAGTACCGAGTTTACCTACACTGCCATCTTGACTGGATATCCTCAACCTTTCCTTCTTCTTCTTTTCTTTTTAATATTTTTATTGATTTCAGACAGGAAGGAAGAGGGAGAGAGAGAAACATCAACAATGAGAGAGAATTATTGATAGGCTGCCTCCTGCACACTCCTGGGGCATGTAACCTTGACCGGAATTAAACCTGGGACCCTTTAGTCCGCAGGCCAAACCAGCTAGGGCAACCCTTCCTTCTTAAAGCTCTCTTCATTGTCCCATTGTTAACATTGGGACTATACTGCCCACACATCATGTCAGTCTTGGGCAGGAAGTTGAGGAGTGAACGGAAAAATAAGAGAGTGAAGTCAGTGAAGCAGGCCTGGATTGGGTGAGGTCAGTGAGGCTCCAGGGTACAAGGTTTAAGAAGGTGCTCACTGTCGGGGTTGTGCAAATGTAGGGTGAGTGCCTTCTTAGAAATATCAGGGGGAACACTTTGTCTCGGTACCTCATTGGCCTCATCCTGGTCCCAGTCCTGCTGGTGCACACAGGCTGCTCATCATAAAGTCTCCTAGGAATGTTTGGTTGAGTTTGAGTTACTTAGACACTGCTACCACTGTGGTTTTTTTGTTTCCTAGTGCATGACACCACTATGCAATAGGAGCTCCAAGGTATGTGAGAATTCTGCAGACCAAGGCTGGCTAAAAATAACCAACATATTTGTTCCAGCAGTGATCAGAACACAAACACTCCCCACACAATCTCAGGAAAACACTTTGCTGTGGGGAGTAAAATTAGAATGCCGCTACAATTACTTAAATGGCAGGCACAATGGGGAATTCTCCACCTGAAGCAGTGGTTCTCAACCTTCTGGCCCTTTAAATACAGTTCCTCATGTTGTGACCCAACCATAAAATTATTTTCGTTGTTACTTCATAACTGTAATGTTGCTACGGTTATGAATCGTAATGTAAATATCTGATATGCAGGATGGTCTTAGGCGACCCCTGTGAAAGGGTCGTTCGACCGCCAAAGGGGTCGCGACCCACAGGTTGAGAACCGCTGAAGGCTTGGAAAAGATTAGCCCTTCAAGTGAAACCAGTAGGTGAAAGAGGACAAAAGGCAGGGTTTTCCTCTGCAGATGTTGCCATTACTCCTCCAGTCTAATGACTACGAGACACAAAGGCAGTTTGAGAATCTAGTGGGAGCATTAGTGTGGTTACACTGTGATCTTCGCTTTGTAAAACATTCTGCTCCCCTGCCCCCGCCCCCCCCCCCAAATTTAGCTTAACATTTCCCATGCACCATGGATATTGCATCGTTCAGGGGAGGCAATTTAAAAGATGTCATATTCTTCCATGTTTGTACAGAGCAGGACGGGATAAAAAGTCATTTGGTGATGCTTTAGATCTTTGTTCAATCAGGTTTGTCCTTGTAACACGTCATGGGCTCTGACTTGCCTATGTTCCAATTCCATGGGGATCTTTGCAAATCCCTTTGAAGCTGTCATTTGAACCACTGTGCATGAGAGCAGCATTTATAATGGCCACCTTGTCTTGACTATGTAAATGGTTTGTTGTTGAATTTTCTATGTGTTCGCAGACTCTGAAAGGTCTCCTGGGTCAGCTTCTGCTGGTTGTTTCTATCTGACCTATTCAGTTAGGGCCTGGAGTCTCCAAGGTCATGATAGCTGGGAGGCAGGTATGGTCTCAGTGGAAAAAGTATTTGGTGGGAATATCAGACTTTTAGCAGAATGGCTTACAAGATCTTTGTTGTGGAAGTAAAATAAATAAGCCAGAGAAAGACAAATACCACATGATTTCACTTATCTGTGTAATCTAAAGAATAATATAAATGAACAAACAAAACAGAAACAGACTCATAGATACAGAGAACAGACTGATAGTTGCCATTGGGGAGAGGGATTGGGAGACTGGGCGAAAAAGGTGAAGAAATTGAGAAGTACATGTTAGTATGCACAAAATAGCCACAGGTACAGCATAGAAAATATGGTCAATAATATTGTATTAACTATGTATGGTGTCAGGTGGGTACTGGCAATATTGAGGGCAACACTTTGTGAAGTATATGATTGTCTATGCTGTACACCTGAAACCAATACAAAAAAATTCTGAATGTAAACTGTAATTGAAAAAAAAATTAAAAAATGAGTATAGGAAGAATTCCAGGCCATTTTTCCCCCTCATTGGCTGTATAGGCTTAGTCATTTTATCCTATTCTCTTGTTTCAGAATGCACCCACCTCTCACAGGGCCTTCTGACACCCTTTATATCTGGGAGATTGAATACAGTGCCTTGGAAATAATATCCCACCATCTACATCCGGATGTGTCCTGCAGTGGGCGTGACAGGTTAAAGATGGCTGAATGATTCTTTTCCATTCTTCCCATTGACAAGTAGGGTCTATGTTCCCTACCTGGGTGCTAAGCGTATAGGCAGTTTATTTTTTATTGTGGTAAAAATCACATAAAGTAAGATTTATTATCTTAACCATTTTAAAAAATATACACTTGTATTGATTTCAGAGAGGAAGGGAGATGGAGAGACAGAAACATCAATGATGAGAGAGAGTCATTGATCGGCTGCCTCCTGCATGCCACCATTGGGGATTGAGCCCGCAACCCAGGCATGTGCCCTGACCTGGAATTGAACCGAGACCTCTTGGTTCATAGGTCGATGCTCTTTCTGTTTGATTTGTTGTTTAGGGGGCTCAACCACTGAGCAACGTTGGCTAAGCTGATCTTCACCATTTTTAAGTGTTCAGTTCAGTAGTGGTAAATATATGTACATTGTTGTGGAACCGATCTCTAGAACTTTTCCATCTTGCAAGTGTGAAACTCTACAGCCACTAAACAACACTCCTCCTTCCCCCCTCCCTCATCCCTTAGTATCCCCCATTTTGCTTTCTCTTTCTATGAATTTGATGACTTTAGATAGCTCCTATATGTGGAATCATACAGTGTCTTTTTGTGACTGGCATATTTCACTTAGCAGATAACATACTCAAAGTTCATTCATGTAGCATGTAACAAGATTCTTTTCTTTTCAGACTGAATAAT